ACAGGAACATGTGGACTCCTAAAGACATTGAAGCAGCCAAAGGTCTATCTCAAAAGGAGGTGTTCAGCCGCTTTCCCTTATCTACCATGGAGGTAATTTTTATCTCCCAATCAGCAAATCTTGACATAATCTTTATGCTTAACCTCTTCTGACCATGCGATCAGTTTAACCAGTGTTCATGCATATCTCTGCAGACCCTATTCGGTATGATGGCCATGCAGAAGTAGGTGGAAATAGGGAACACCAAGGCTCGAAAGTTCTCTGACAACCTCGAAGTGGCCCATAAAGAAAATAACATCATCGCCACCAAAAACACAGAACTGTTTGTCCAGCTTGGCAAAATTGAAAAAGAGAGCGACGCTCTGAAAAGGGAAACCGATTCTCTTCAGGATGAAAGGGATGCCCTTCAACTTGAGAGGAGCGTTTGGCAGACCGAGCACAATTCGCTCAAGGATGAAAAAGCAAAACTCCAACGCCTTCTGGCAACGAGTAGTCCGCTTGGATGGCCTTTGAGAAGAGAGTCCTGGATGAGCGTGATACTCTGCTCAACACCATCAGCAAGGTGAATGGTGGCATGCTAGCTCTTCACGCTCGGTTTTCAAGGGTTGGAACTCTTAGGTATGCTCAGGGGTACCGAGAGGGTTTTTCCGACCGTGTTCCTACCGACGGACAGACCGGTTCCACTCCGGACGAAGTTAATAAGGATCTAGAAATTAATCCTCCAGGAGTCTATGTTGATCCTGACTCCACTCCTACTGAACACATTTTTGATGAGTGTCAGGAGATTGCTTCCTCCAGGGTCACTCCAGCCCCCTCTGTCGTTCAGCCTCTGGATGTTCTTCCTCTATGTACTATGGTCCCTTCCTCAACCGCTACTGAGATTGGGCCCCAACAGAACGATTCAGTTGTCAATCTCGACTCCCCATCTCATGAAGATAGGACGACCAATGAGAGTGAAGAAGCGAGTCAACACAATCAGTAGGCTGACAGAACAGAGGCAACTAGCTAGGACTCTTCTAATACTTTAATTTCTTGTTTTTTTGTAGTCATGTCATCTGTATACTTATCTTTTGTAACCTCAGAACATATCATGAATGAGATGACAAAAACATTGACTTTATCTGTGCATGGGTGGTAACAACCAGCTTCACATTTATCTACTTTGCTGAAGTGTCTGGCGCTCAGCTCATAGTGCCAGCTGCCACTTACTTTTTGTTTTTGAGCAAGTGCTTGGCATTCGGCTCATAGTGCCAGATACCACTTACTTTTTGTTTTTGAGCAAGTGCTTGGCGTTCGGCTCATAGTGCCAGCTGCCACTTACTTTGCTTAAGTGCCTAGCGCTCGGCTAGAATACCACTTGCCACATGGCTTTTTATTTCTTAGCAAGTATTTGGCGTTCGGCTCATAGTGCCAGCTACCACTAACTTTGCTTAAGTGCTTGGCGCCCGGCTAGAATGCCACTTGCCACTTGGCTTTTTATTTCTTAGCAAGTGTTTGGCGTTCGGCTCATAGTGCCAGCTGTCACTTGCTTTGCTTAAGTGCTTGGCGCTCGGCTAGAATGCCACTTGCCACTTGGCTTTTTATTTCTTAGCAAGTGCTTGGCACTCGGTTAGAATGTCACTTGCCACTTGGCTCTGCTATTTTTACTTAATCAATCTCTTAAAGAGGAATATTATTTTTATAAATCTCAGAAACTTGTACATTCGCCTGTATTCAATTGAAAATGAACAAAATTCAACGTTGAAACTCAACTTTTTATTGATAATACCTCTTCAGAGAAGTAGCATTCCAAGGCTTGTTAACCAACCTTCCGGCCATGGTCTCTAGGGTATATGCGCCCTTTCCTATGACTTCTGCAATTCTGTATGGACCTTCCCATGGTGGTATCATCTTTTTTACTATCCCCACCTTCTTTTTTAGAATCAAATCACCTGGTGTAAAGTCTCTGTGCTTTACTTTTTGTTATGGCTATTCGCAAGTGTCTGCTGGTAGGATGCGAGCCTTACTGCCGCTGCATCTTTCTTTTCCTCCAGCATATCGAGGTTAAACCTCAACATATTGTCGTTATGCTCTCGGCTCTATGCCAAGCTTCGAACAGTCGGAACCAAGTGCTCGACCGGTATAACTGCCTCAGTACCATACGCCATGGCAAATGGGTTTTCTCCGGTCGATCGCCTTGGGGTCGTTCTGTAAGCCCATAGGACGTTCAGCAGTTCATCTAACCATTTTCCTTTCTTCTTTTCAAGCTTCTTCTTGATACAAGCAAAGATTGTTTTATTTGTGATTTCTGCCTGTCCATTGGCCTGGGGGTGACTTACTGCCGCCAGCTTTCGATTAATTTCATATTCCTCCAACAACTCTTTTACTTGCTTGCTGTCAAGGTTGGTCCCATTATCCATGACAATTGACCTCAGAACACCAAACCAGCAAATAATATTACTCCAAATGAACCGTCTCACATGAGTTTGAATTATTCTCGGGTACGGCTCTGCTTCCACCCACTTAGTAAAGTAATCTTTAGCCAGCAGCACATACTTGTTCTGAGCTCTTGCCCATACCCCATTGTGTGAAAGGCCATGGTGTGGCCATTACGTGCAAGTCCTCAGGTGGTTGGTGAATCAGTGGTCCGAACCTTTGGCACTTATTGCACCTTTTGGACAATTCTTCCGCATCTCGTGACATGTTCGGCCAGAAGTACCCTTGCGTCATTGCTTTGTGCGCTAAAGACCTTCCCCCTGAATCGTTTCCACATACACCTTCACGAATAGCTCGTAGTATCTGCCGAGCCTCTGTGGGGGTGACGCACTTTAAGTACGGCCCAGAAAAAAACCTTCGGTATAACTGGTTATGCACCATGGCGTATTTTGCAGCATTCGATTTGATTTTCCTAGCCTCATCTCGCTGCTCAGGCAGAGTACCATCCCTGATGTAAGTTATGATCGGATCAATCCAACTTGGCTCATATGGAATAACATTCACTTGCCAAGGATCTGGGCCCAAAGGTTCTTCAAAAATGGATGGCTGGTTTAATATTCCTACTGGAATCACCCTTGCCAATGTTTCTTCAGAACCCGAGGCACTACATGCTAGCCGGTCGGCATCTTCGTTATACTCTCTCGGTATTTGAATGAATTCAATTTTTTCGAAGTATTTGGCTTCCCGCATAACAGTAGAATGATAGGCCTCCATTGTTTCATCTTTGGTTTCATACTCGCCATTCACCTGCCGAACCACTAACTACGAGTCACTAAAGACAGTCAAATTCCTGACCTTCAACTCCTTGGCAAGCTTAAATCCTACCAGCAGTGCTTCATACTCCGCTTCATTGTTGGTGGCTCTGAATTCAAGCCGGAGTGCTTGACTCAAGGACGTACCTTCTGGTGTCTGTAGTTTGATCCCAATGCCTGCCCCCATCTGATTTGAGGATCCGTCGACGAATAGTTTCCACAAGCAACCACGAAGGTCTTCCTCCATGTCTTCTGAATCACATTCTAGTAAAAAATCTGCCACTGCTTGCCCTTTGACTGCCGTTCTGGGTTCATATGCTATGTCAAATGAGCTTAACTCTATGGCCCACTTTGTCATTCTTCCTAAGAGGTCTGGCTTGTGCAGGATTATTCTGATAGGGAAGGTGGTTAGAACGATGATATGATGGGATTCAAAGTAATGCCTGAGCTTTCGTTTCGCATGCACTAGCGAGAGTATTACCCGCTCGGCTTTTGAATAACGTCGTTCGGCCTCAGTCATCGTTTTGCTAACATAGAACACTGGATATTGCTTCCCCTCTGGACAACGGATCAGAACGCCACTTGTCGCGATGCTGGACACCCCGAGGTATAAAAATAGTTTTTCTCCTGGTTCTAGAGCTGACAGAACCGGAAGATTCTGCATATATTCTCTCAGACCAGTTAATGCTAGGCGTTGTTCATCCCCCAAACTTGTCTGCCATGATTTCGTATTGTGTCAAAAAATGGTTTGCAACGATCTGACAATTTAGAAATGAATCGGCTCAATGTTGCGATCCGTCCCGTAAGAGTTTGCACTTCCTTAACTGTTGTCGGCTCGACATTCTTAGTCAAAGCTTCTGCTTGGGCTGGGCTAGCTTCTATGCCTCTATGATTAACCACGTGTCCCAAGAATTGACCAGAACTCACGCCGAATGAGCACTTGGTTGGATTGAGCTTCATTCCGTAGTGCCTCAACACGTCAAATACATCTTGCAGATGTTTCAGATGGTTAATTTTCTTCTTACTTTTTACTACCATGTCATCAATGTAAGCTTCCACGGTCTTCCCTATTTGAGCCTTGAAAATTTTGCTAATAAGTCTTTGGTAAGTTGCTCCGGCGTTCTTCAGTCCGAATGGCATGACTTTGTAGCAATAGGTCCCGCGCTCGGTAACGAAAGAAGTTTTCTCTTCATCAGCGGGGTTCATGGGGATCTGATTATAACCTGAATAAGCATCTAAAAAGGTTAAACACTCATATCCAGTAGTAGCATCCACCATTTAATCAATTTTCAGCAGCGGAAAGCTATCCTTCAGACAGGCTTTGTTTAAATTGGTGAAATCAATGCACACTCGCCATTTCCCATTCTTCTTCTGCACAACAACAACATTTGATAACCAGTCAGGATAATACACTTCTCTTATAAATCCCGCATCAAATAGCCTGTCAACCTCCTCGGCTATGATATGGTTACGCTCTAGAGCAAACCTTCGCTGCTTCTGCTTTACAGGTTTTGCATTGGGATTTACGTTTAAGGAGTGACAGGATACAGAAGGATCGATTCCAGGCATGTCTAGGTGGCTTCATGCAAATACATCGGCGTTTTAAGACAAGAACTTAACTAACTCCTGGTTCTCCTCCACGGCGAGTTGTTCCCCCACTTTGGTTGTTCGTTTCGGTCTGAACCGATCGATCTGCACATCAACCAGGGATTCTTCGGTCAAGTCCACTGGCTCCTCCTCCCCACTCTGCTTGGGGAGAGGCTCCTGTAATTGCTATCTCGGGCTTGTCGAACAAATGGGAGCTTTCCCTTTTCCAGCATACTTCAGTGTTACTGAATAACATTCCTTAGCTGCAACCTGGTCCCCATGAATGTCAATCACCTTAGTTCCGTCTGGCCCCAGGCATCTCATTACTTGATGCAGAGTGGAAGAAACACCTTGAACTCTGTGGAGCCACCCTCTACCTATCAAAAGGTTGTAAGAAGGATGAATCTCGACAACTACAAAGGTCTCCATTAGAGCCCTCTCTGCAGCGTGTACTGCTACCTCCACCATACCGATGGGCTCCACTCGTTTTCCACCAAACCCTAGCAAGGGATTTCCAGTGGGCTTGAGTTGATCCGGTTTGATCTCGAGTCGATCAAATGTGTTCCTCGGCATGACGTTCGCACTACTTCCAGGATCAATCAAAACTCTGCATACCAAACATTCGGCTACTGTCAAACTGACGACCAAGAGGTCCTCATGAGGGATCTGAACACGCAATAGATCTGTTCTGTCAAACTTTATCTGTGTTGATGCGCTCTGTTGGTGCAGATTGTTAACACCGCTTATCCTCCTCTTCATCCGTGCCTGGCGAAGGCGTGTTCGAAACAATTCTTCTGACTCCTCAGTAGGCTCAGGCCGACCGTGAATTGCATTGATTAGTCGAACTGGTTGCGTATTGTAAGAGTTCGACTTCTGATTCCTCTTCACGTGCTCCATTGGTTGGTTCTGTTCCATTGCCGGGCTTTGGATATAACTGGCGAACTCCCCTTTGGCTATCAGCATCTATACCTGTCCCTTAAGTTCCTGCATTCATTAGTCTGATGGCCAAAGTCAAAATGAAATGCACAATGCTTAGACTGATCCCTCTGTTCGAGGGGTTGTCTGATCGGTAAAGGAGATCGGAACTTATCTTTATTTTTTTGGTACAGCCTTGCTAAGGTGACTTTCAACGGAGTAACCAGCTCTTCCTCCCTGGGCCTCTTCTCAGATTTCTACGAGGTCTGACGCTGTGGCTGAATCTGCTTTTGTCTGATCTTTGCTTTGGTTTTCTCCTCTGTGGATATGACGGATGTCTTCCGAGCGTTAGCTGCCTCTTCTTCTTCCAAGCGCACAAATCCATCAGCTCTTTCATTAAGTTCATCCATAGTTTTCGGCGTATTCACGACCAAGCTTGTGTGGAATGGAGTGCCACGAGTCATGGCCAGTATAAACGCTTGAACCGCGGTAAAAGGATGACATTCAATCACCATACTCTTAGTAAGGTTAAACCTAGTTAGGAAAGCCTGGAGATGCTCATCCTCATGCTGCTTCATTGTGAATAGGCTCGAAATGTCCTTTGTTGGACGCTTATTTCCATAATATTAGCTTATGAACCGATCACACAAGCTTCGGAAGCTGTCCACTGAGCCCCTCGGTAGGTTCTTGAACCAATTGAGCGCTGGTCCAGCTAGACTTGTAGGGAAGCACTTGCACATCAATGAGTCATTCTCAGTGTTCAGAGCCATTTTCAACTGGATGTGATACACATGATGATCAATCGGATCGGTCGTTCCGTCGAACAGAATGAAAACGGGCATGGAAAATTTCCTCGGACTCGGAACATTCAGAATCTCATCGGTGAACGGTGAATCAACCGTTCGAGCTACTGAGTGGAGCGCTTCATTTTCTCTCTGGAACCCCGCGGTTGCTCACTGATCTACAGATCTTCTCTCTGAGCCGCGATAGTCGAACATCGTCATGGAAGGCCGATAAGTCGGATCGAATGATCTGTCCTCAACAAACTCTCTGTGCCATGGAGGCATAGCTTTGTGACGATCAAACTCCATTGCTTCACCTCAGCTGAGCGTTTCTTGATGTGGATCAAAAGTCATGGCTTCGTTTCGCCTGATCTGCTCACGCCGTGGATCCACGTGAGTTGATCCTTCACAATCATCAATACGACGAGGATTTGGCGGCAAATCGTTTGGCCGGACTTCCTAGCGGTGAAGATCTGTCAGATTGTTCCCTTCCTCCTCGCCGTGATGTGCCACATCAGTACGTGCAACTTGTTCTCCCGCCGGGAGCGGTCGCGGAATCACCGGAACTTCTTGACGCTGCATTTCAGTCCTTAAATCTGCATTCTCTCTTCTGAGAGCTTCGATCATGCTCATCAACTCATCAAGCTTCATATGCTGGACATTCTCTACCGTATTGGAGTGCTCATCCCCAGTCATCATTCCAGAACGGAGTAAAGGCATGAATCGTAAATTCTAAGTTAGATCGGATTCTCGCTGACGCGAATCACGACAGATCTAAACTCCAATTTTACGGGTTTTGCTTTCTCTTCGATAGATCAGAGTTTTTTCGGCGTCTGAGCTTGTCGGATCGGGCCGCGATAGAGTGAATCACGGCTGCGTAAACCTAACGCCAATCTCTCAGAATCAATCAAGAATCCAGAATCTCTTAAAAGCCAACCGCAATATCTTAGATCTGGACTAAACTTCTACAAATCAGGTTTCGTCGTCATCAATCAGTCGGAATCAACATGACGTTGATCAAACATGAATCAGCCTTTAACGTATTCCCACAGACGGCGCCAATTGAAGATGTAAGAGATTCACTCATCTTTCTCTCTTTAGAATTCTTACACTTCAACAAAATGAAAATTCCAAAAAATCATCCTCCCCTTTCTCTACTCGTAATGGTCTATTTATAGACCATTACAAATACTCTAACCAACTTATTACATAAGGCTCCTATTCAAAGGCTTTCTTCCTTTTGGGCCTGACTTTCAGTGTTGCGTTATGGGCTGGGTTCAACAGTTCGGTCCGATCCTTCGTTCGTGGGTGTTGGGCTTACTACGCTACCTTTTTTGCTTAGGCTCGGACCTACCATCCAACCTGATCATTCACTCGCGGGTCAGGTCTGGTCCAATCCGTCTTTGACATCCTCAGTTTCAGTGTGAGAGGGGACAATTTTCTCGAGCTGTACTCGACCACCCGCATCGTGGAAGCAAAGCCTCTTGAGGCCGAAAGTCTTATGACGCGGTGTTTTTCACCGCCGTGGACGGTGATCGTAAAAGGTGCAGAAGCGATAAGGAAGAAGTAGAACAGAAGCCAGTGAAGAAGGAAAGGTCATCGGAATCTGACACTTCTTCATTAAGTGGTCAAACAGCTTGTCCGTTCACACCTTGTTGGAAGGTGGTTTGGGATCAGAATGTCGATGGTATCTTTAATCTCTCCCCATTATCTCCCCACCCACCGTTATGTTATTCTGAGCTCATGGTCATATGAAATTGTAATTTTGAAGTGTAAAATAATTTTCTAAAAATGGCAACCTTTAGTTATTCACTACATTGATATATTTTGCAAAATATCTACGTTGATTAAGTTTTCCTCTTTACTTCTGGAATTAATAGATTAAATTATTTAATGAAAGGAAAAATATAAATTGAGGTTTTTGAATCATCTCCTCTAAAAATGACACAGGATTGCACTCAAGAATTGATATGTTCTAACCCTAACATGAACTAGAACTAAATCTATTTGAACAATTTTACTACGCATAAGAATTGGAACCAAATTAGACAGCGAGAACTACGTTGATTTGGCTGTTAATTAGATCAGTAAATGGCTATGGCCATGTGTATTTGTGTGTGTGAGAGAGTGGGAATAGAGAGAATGGAGTTGGAACATCATTGTAGTACCATGCTTGTTTGTGGGTCTCTGTCTGTTTGTAGTGATCAGCATAAATAATTATTTCTCACGAAAAAAAAAAAAATTCTGACAGACCCAAATCAAATTAAAATATTAGGCACAAGCATCAACTATGGCAATCAATTGGACATTAATTAAAACACTATAATAGATGCATATATATATATAGAAAGAGGGAGAACAAAATGAACTGAGAGCTGAGGAACATACAGGAATAAAATAAAAGGAAGGCCAGAATGATGAATTGATGAGGAAAGAGGAGTGAATTGCAAAACCCTGTTTCAGATTTAGCATGAAACCAGTTTACTCAGTGGTTGGCTGGTTTTAGAAACCAGTTGTTTAGCTCTGTAAGTTTTTCATCATGTTCACAAGAAAAATATTAATTAATCTAATTTTACTTTTTTTAGAAAGTTTTATTTTGAATTTACAAATGTTATTGTTAGTTGGTGATCATGTGTTAGAGTTTTAGCAGAAAGAAGAACTAGATAATTTCATATAGTAATGTTTGTTGCGGAATTTGATGGTTCTAGAGAGAAGAAGAGAAGTGGAAGGGAAAATGGGTTTCATCGGAAAAAAGAGAGGCCAAATGCTATATAAGATCAGAGGGTATAATGGTCATAATGAAGGTCACTTTTGGAATTAATAGTCAATATTTAATCACGTGCAAAAGCTTATGAGTTTTTTGGTGTGGGGGGTGGGGGGGGCTCAGGGGGTATTTTGAATAAGTCCAAAATGCATAAAATTGTTAATCAATAGAATAACAGTTGTATTTATTTGATAATTAATAGTATGAATAATTCAGTAATATATATTTATATAAATATAATTAATATAAAATAAACTTGTATAATTAATATTAATAATTAATATAATACGTACACTCAAGCATAATTAATTCATTAAAAAAATGTGTAACTAATATAATTAGCAGATATGAGGCGTCTTTTTCTCACAATCATTTTATAATGAGATACGAGACCTCTTATTTTATTGTAATCTGTTGACACTTATTTTTGCAAAATTTGTGTAGCATGGCAACTAATTTAGGGATATGTAGCAATTGTTTTAGTGATAATAACATATTCTTAAAGTGGGATGTGGTGCGATAGTCCAGTAATAGAGCATGTGTTGCTTGTGACTAAAGGTCCAGGTTCAAATTAAAAAAAAAAAAAAACAAAAATGTTCTAACAGTGGGTTTAAAATCACTGGACCACCTCATTTACAATTATTCATATTCCAATCATGTTTCATAGTTAATCCAAATTTCCTAGTGTAGTCCAACTCCTTCTTAGTTAATTTTTCTAGTTCAGGTTTTTTTTTTTTTTTTTTACTCACACACACATGTCTCTTCTGAAACTTGAACCCCTAACCTCCCTTTAAGAGGTAAGAAGCCGATCTTACCTCTTAATTAGTTTCCTTTTGCAGTATCATTATATTTCCGGTAATTATTATAGCTTTCTATTTCAAGTCCAAATTTACAATTTCAGTTTCTCTTTCCATTTTCTTGCAATTACTTCTTCGTCCTTTTCACTTAAGGCCGTTTGAACTCAATTAGGAGGAGTTTCATATCTCACACATTGCCTAGTCCGTAATCTTCACAAAAGAGACTCAGTTTGACTACTCTTTACAGTTTAAACCAAGCTCTTTGATTTTGGCACGCCCACACTTAGCAAATTTCTAAATAGACTAGTCTTACGAATTTAAGGGATCATCAATCAACATAATCACCTTATAGTTAAGTCGCCCGAATATTATGCTATTCTCTTGAAATTCATATTACGTTGAGAAGAGTCGTTACACCTACAACGAGTTAAATTTATAAACTAATCTATACCCCCACATGAGATGCATGACAAGATTAATGTGCCTTAAGAAATGTATTCCAAAAGAAATGGCAGATCATAGACCATGTAAAGAGAATGATACTTGAACTGCACATAATCTGTTCATTATTTATCTTATAAGTCACTTTAGAAAAGTAAGATTTGATTTAGTGAGAAGATAGCAAATGTAAAGATTGTTTAAATATAATATGATAGAACTATAGTAATTAAAGATTAAAGTACAAGGAATGAGGAATTGTAGAAG